CTGTCCGCCCAACCTGGGAACAGGTCTCCACTCCCGGGATGACATTGACAGTATTTAACGTGTGAGTTTCCCGCATGTCAGAATAGAGCAAGATCTTGAAGGTTCATTGGTATTCTCGGAGTGAACCCTTGAGTGGTTGCACCATGGGGAGGTCTGGGAGCCCCTGGGGAAGCGCTTACTTACCAAATAGTATGGAAATAGTGCAATATTTAAACCGCCAGTTTGGTCATACCGGTATGTCCCTGCGAGTCATCAACTCCGCTGGTAGCAATTATTTAACCTCTTTGCATGTGTGGAAGAATCTAGGTGTTTCTCTCCTCTAAAAAAAAGGTACCCACAAATTCCAAGAGGTTTTCCTTCACACAACCCAACTCATAGACACATCCTCCCACCACACGACAGGTCCTTACTGGGACACCACACAAAAACAAGCGTATTCTCAGATAATTTAATCAGAATTTTAATATAAACAGGTCATTATCCCATATTTTACATGCAGAACGATTTCAATATTCCAAAAAAAAAAAAAAAAGGCATCTTCTGTACATGGTGCTACTTGGCTCTTGTAGGAAAACATTGAAAAAATAATAATGGAGCTGTTGGTGGGTTTTGTGTTTCTGAGTTGTTTTCTGCAAAAGCTGCAGCACATTTGATCCTGCGTTGCCAACACGCAGGGCTGAGGCCACCCAGGCACACAAAGGGACGAGGAGCAGCAACTTTGAGGCCAAGTGTAAAGACTAAACAAGCTGTTCCTGAATATGTGCATGGATGCACACTTATTTTGAGGCTCTTCCTTCTTTCTCCAATGGGACCAAGAGCCCCAGATCTGGTTTTTAACAAGGATTTTCAGTGGCCCACACCCAGATAGAAATTTGGCTGGTGGCTGGTCCTGGACACTGACTGGGATCAGAAGGTAACAGTAAGCTCAAAAAGCCGTTGTGTCCCCTTCCCCCAACCCGATTTCTTGAGGACCCTTAAGGAAATAGTCACCTTCTGTTGCAGCCCCCTGAAAGTCCACCATGTTCTTTTGTATGTTCTAGGGAAAAAAAAAAAAAAGTGCTGACCTGTTCTTTTCATTTCCAACCTCACCTCTCATATAAATTAATATTCTGAAGAACATGCTAGAAGATTTTCTGAAGTGACACCCCTCTATGTGTACCACGAATATAAAATCGGCATTCCCTGTTCCCCATCCTCAACAAAACCATCGTTTCTGAAGAGCCTAAGGTGTCAAGGACTCACCAGGTGGCATGCAAAGGACATTTAACCCTAAACTTCCACCCACTGTGAAGTAGAGAAATGATTACCGCTGGGACTACAGCACATCCATTTACCAGGATGGCCAGCGCAAGTCATACCCCTAATAATGCTCCTGCTTGTCCACAAGTGTTACAGGGGACTACAAATAAACACTTCCCAACCCAATAAACACATTTCTTGGTGGACTACTTGCCCTGGTAGGATACAGTGAAAGATCTGTCCATCAATTGGTAACAGTCCCCAGGGTCGCAGGATGACCTGTGCAGACCCTTATGTCAGTTCCCACAGCTTCTCTCCATCGTCCTCAGCCTATATCCAGACAAGCAGCAGTGCTTCTCCTTCTCACTACTTCCAATGACGGAACAGCACCTAGGACAGCTCCCGAAACCTGAACATTTTCTGATGCGTATTTGACATCATCAATGCAGAAAGTGACGTGCTTAGTATTCTCCTCCTGGAAGAAGAAACTCCTGTGTGGCTTTCACTACGTTAATTAAAAGGGTTTTAATCATAGTGAGACATCTTTAAAAACAAGCAACAAAAAGTGTTACCCTAAGCTGGTTTTGTTGCTTTTTGTTGTTGTTGTAATTTAACACTACAAACTCCCAGGACAACCATGTCTTTCTAGGACCAAAGTTTTATTGTTACAAAGTCAGAATTTCCTAATGTCAAAAGAGGCTTGCAACCCAATAGCTGTTTGCTCTTTTCACTGTGGCAGTGGAGTCAAATAAATGAAACTGGTGAACCCCATTTGCAAGGGGCAGGCCCAGCACCCTACCTTTCTCCAGGGCGGGTGGAGAAAGGTGAGTCTGCAAGGGCAGTGCCTAAAAGTACCAGAGCAGCAAGATTTGGGCCCCACTGGCCCTGCCTAGACTCTTGCATGGGTTATCAAAGCTGCACAAGGTTCAACAATATCAGCTTGAGGTCAATCAAACCCCAACACAGAGGTCCAAGGTGTTGTTGCAAAAAAAAAAAAAAAAGTGTTCAGCACATTAATGGGTTTTGGGTTGGAATTTCCCACACATGCTCCCATCCCACTTGGAGAATTTTAAAAGACATTGTGTTAGGTGTTTGTGTGTGAGGTGTATCACCAGCCTGAAAGGAATGGGAATAAACCATCAGGGAGCCCAGGGCACCTTTGTGCTCACTTCAGGGGAATTCCACGGAACAGGTGGGAATGCTTGTTCTGAATCAAAGCCCGTCTTTGCCCCAGCAGCCATCTCTCACCAAAGGAAGGTACACCTTGCGGGCGTACCTCATATATCAGATACATCATGATGGCCTGGAACTTAGTTTATGCTTGGGGAACATAGTGACAATAGATGGAGGATTTTTTTTTTAAAGGAAGATTAAATTCAGAGAAGAATATTACCAGCCAAGGAAGAAAAGGATCTATGCTCACATAAAAGCCATACCTTCTCCATCCCAACTCCCTCCCTCAAAATTCTTGCTGGTCCCTGGCATTCGAATCAGCTGATACACATGTTCCCTGATTCAGACCGGTTCCAGGTAGAATTCTGAAATCTCAAAGATGTCTGTGATTGAATCACATCTTAACAATACACTGAGGTAGACTGTGCTGAAAAACAAAAATCACTATCCCCCATTCACCTGTTTATTTTTCTTTGATAAAAATTTACATGCGCTCCGTTTTTTATGAGAGTGATTTTCAGAGTGATTTTATATATTAAAATAAATACTTTTTCCCCTAATATAAGAAAAACCTTTCTGAATTAGAAAAATGTGAAAATTGCAGCTAGTGTAGTATACAACCACTACAAATTTACTAGGAAGAGAACAAAATACCTAGATCTACGTGTTTTTTTTAATTTACGTACAGACCCTCATATTTACAAAATAAATTTGGCAAAAATAATTTCTGTACTCTTGCTTGTTGTACCCAATCACTGAGGCGTCTCAGCAATATTTTTACATGCTGTAATTTCTCGAATCATATAAATAAGATAGCAATAGACAATTGGGATTCGTGTCTACCTGTGTTCTTAATCAAGAATTGAGAGGGCTTGGAGGTTGCCATGATGACTCGATCCCATTCTTAAGCCCACAACTCTTAAGAGAAGAAAAGGAAGCAGTCAAAAAGTTGTAAGAAAATGCACTCGGGAATAACGCATGGGTGATGATTTTTTGATGAACCAAAGTGATGAGTTCACTGTGTTCTTTGAGCAGCTGTGGTGGTTCTTTTCACAAAGAGAAGAAACGGTGGATTCACGCCCATTCGGAAGTTCTTGGTGGTGTGAAAGGTCTTTCTCACGGCTTCTCCTCCAGACTCTACTCTCTTAGGGACTGCAACATCGTAAGCGTCTGCGCATTCTGCTCAGGCACCACACCTGGCCCAGATGAGGTCTCTGGGCTCAGAGCAGCTTCCGGGAGTTCAGGACTGAGGACCGTCGGATGCTCTCAGGGTGGAGGGGAGCAAGATGTACTCTCAGTGCACCTCTCTCTTATATTGCTTAGATGTTCCCAAAATCCATCCAGGTTGTTGCTCTTTGGGATCTGATGTTCTTGTGTTTGCACAATAACGATAGGATGTTCACACCCAGGAGAGGAAACGCCACGAGAGGTACACACAGAGAACCAGAGGATGAACACGGGTGTTCTTGAAGGCAGGCTCAGAGCTAGGTAGCTACCAGCTCATCCGAACAGGAACCTTCCAGCAGACCCGGTGCCTGAACGAGACCATCCACAAAACCTAGTCTCCCACACACTCCACGTGGCCTCACAGCGTCCAAAAGTGTTAGCAGCGAACGTGGCTTCATTCCCAGAAATGGATGCCTTTAAGACCAAACAAAGAGGCCACTTGTGCCTCACTCCCTCCCCTTCCCGGCCCCACAACAGGCAGACCAACTCATGTCTCCACTCCCCGCCAACCCCGGGGAATAGTCAATAACTTATGAGGCTAATACCAGAGACTTTAAAAATTAAATATGTTACAAATATATTCTCAAAACTCTGTCATCTCAGTTCTTCCTTTTTTTTTTTTCCTTTTTCTATTTTGTTTTTCCTTTCTTTCTTTCTTTTTTAATGTCCTAGCTTGGTTTGGTCTTGAAAAGATTCATAATCACTCCAAATGAAATGTTCCTCCCTTGGCTCCCAAAAAGCATCTTTCCACCAACGTGAAAGGAGGGTAGAAACCTGAGGCTAGACTTCTGACACAAGAAGAATCTGTCGAGAGCACAGTCTCCCAGTCGATAAGAAGGAAGGAGAGAGGGGGACATGAGCTCGCACCCTTGAGAAGAACCTTCATGAGCCAATTCCCAAAGCATCAACTCCGCAAGGATACTCTGCACACACATCAGCCGTGTCGAATGGACACACACACGCATACACACGTGAGCACACGCCGGGACCACAGACCCTTATCCAAAGTATGAAAGCAGCAGCTATTGGTCAATTTGAGGAACTGATCTTGTAAAGAAAAAAAAAAAAAGAAATCCTTCAGCCTGGATGAGGAAAAAAAAAAAAAAAAAAAAAAAAGCCTTCTTGAAGCCCAACCTGTAAAGCTTGAAATTCTCCTGGAACAGGGCTGGGTATTTTTGTTTTGTTTTTTTTCTTTCAAACTTTTGTTCCACAGACAAGAAGTTTTATCTTTTATACTGCAGCTCAGACACCAGCAAAAAACAAAAACAAAAACAAAAAGAATTTGTAAAAACAAGTGCTGTCTTTCCATCTGCTGGGGGGACGGGGAGAAAAACAAAAAGACACAAAATCCTGGTTTGAAACCGTCGTTGCTCCAAAAGGGCAGCAGTTAAATCCTCTGCGGGACTAGTTAAATTGGCAACCAAACGAGTCCATCTTAAGATGAACAGAAATGTATAGGAACGATCTCTGAACTCCATTGGACATGGTAAGAGTCGTGAGAATCCTGAGTTTTCCAGAGGCTTTCAAACCAGAGGAAAGTGACAATGGGAACCCCTGCCCGTCCCCGCCGCGGTAGGCACTGTTAGGAAGGATTGGACCGAGGCAAGGTCAGAATCCGCCCGTTTTTCTTGCCTCCGTTCATGTGGGTGTAAGGGATGTGTTCCTCGTAGCTCCGCTTGAAACCCAGCGAGGACCCTCCATCCCGGCCCCCCGCCTCCTCCCTCTGACAGTGCGAGGAACGGTCCAGGGGCACGTTCTCCATGTCCTCAAACTCCATCTCCAGCTCCTCATTCTCGGGAGCCTTGTTCTCCTCGCTATGAAAGAAAGACACCTCCGGAAAGCTGGGGTGCAGGTCGTCCTTGAGCAGGTTGACGATCTCCAGGAAGGTTGGCCTCATCTTGGGGTTGAATTGCCAGCACATGCGCATGAGGTCAGTGCTGCGGGGCAGAAGGACACGTCCTGGGTGAGTCTAGGGGCCCAGCCAAGCATCCTCCCAACCCCGCCCTCGTCCCTGCAGCCAACACCCACGGACCACACGTGTTCACATCAGATGCTGGCTGTGTGTGTGGACAATTGTCAAGGCAGAAATAGCAATGCTGGAGGTTCTGAGAGATGGCGTTCTCTTTTTGCTTTTCTTCTTTTTGTGGACACAGGGTCTCATTCTATTACCCAGGCTGGAGTGCAGTGGCATGATCATAGCTCACTGTAGCCTCTGCCTCCTAGGCTCAAGCAATCCTCTCATCTGGCCTCCCAAGTAGCTGGGACCACAAGTGTGCACCACCATGCCTAGCTAATTTTTCTATGTTTTGCAGAGACAGGGTTTTGCTATGTTGCCCAGGCTGGTCTCAAACTCTAGGCTCAAGTGATCCACCCACCTTGGCCTCCCAAGATGCTGGGATTACAGGTGTGAGCCACCATGCCTGGCCACTTTTTTTTTCTTTTTCTTTTTCTTTTTT